TTAAAAATAAAGTTAAGCATAAGTCAGATTGAAATGATTAATTGCCTTACTATTAAGGAGCCAAGAAGTCTCCACTAATACGTGCCCTACTCTCAGCTCTTACCTTACCAAAACATCACAGGCGTAAACACAGATACCTGTACACAATGAAGGCACTTTGCCAAACTCTTCTTAAAGCCCCACATTGTCAAGGTGAAGAATGGTCAAGAATGGTGAAGAATCGTCAGGGTAGGATGAGCTAAAGCACAGTGAAAGCTTCTGGAGGAAGCTGAGGCTGAGGAGAGACCCAGAGGGAAGGAAGATCCAAGCTCAGCAGGAAGGGGCAGGAGGGAAACATTGATGCTTCTCCACTAGTAAATCTGGGCTTACCAATTCACTGGGAAAATGTTTGCAAGGGAAAAGGAATTCCTCCCACAGCGTGGCTGAAAATAGAAACAAAGCCACTACCTATAATAGAACCCCAAGCAAGAGAGCCACCTGAGCTCTCAAAACTCAAATCTAAACCCTACTCCCTGTTCCCCAGGATAATACTCACTCTGCCCAGCAGCCCTCTTCATTCTCTTAGCTCTTTTCCAACACCTGCCCCCCACCGCGCACACACATACATAACATCTTTTGCATACAACAGTTCACTCTCTTAGAATGGCCTCCCTCGGCACTGCCCTTTCAAAGCCAGAGTGTCTGCACTTGACCACTGCTCGAGTCTCTCCTCCCACGCAAAGCCTGCTCCGCCCACCCCAGCACCCTGGAATGCCCCACTCCTCTGCGATCACAGAGGACTTGATGCATGCATCGCTTGTAGAGCGAGCTTTTCTAGAAGCACGAGTGAGCAAATGTGTGCATGTTTTTAGTTTGAGTTTCCCCCAAGAGCAGAGCCTGAGTCAAGGACTTGAGTGCAGGTAGTTTATTTGGAAGATGATGGCAGAAGCACACGGTGGGGGAAGGAAGGAGAGCTGACCAGGGATGCAGTGCACACTGATTTATATCTTCAGCATCTGGGCCTCAACCCCACTAGGCTCCTCTGAGAAACCACACAAACTGTGCAGGGAATCGTCCTAACTGAAGAGCAGAGGCTGGGGCATATGGCCAAGGAGCCCTGCCCCACGGTTAGGGTCACCTGACACACTGAGTATGTCACCTCTTCAGTGTGACACACCTTCGGCTTCAGAGAAAGCCCCTCAGCAGCAAACTGGAGGGGATTAGCTTGATGCCCCCACAAGCCACCCCAAGATTTGCTACAGTGAGCACACACGTGCTTTCTCTTTGCACCTAGACCATAAGCTCCTGGAGTGCAAAGACCATAAAAGGAGAAAGAAAACCAGGCTGTAATTTAACATGATTTGGGCCAAAACCTTGAGATAGTTTGCCTTTTGTTGTTGTAACTTGATGGCATTTTATCAATCCTTTACATTTATGTTCTCATTAAAAAATAAGACCGTCATACTATCATATGGCAAAAACATTATATGAGGAAATAATACAAGAAAAACAATTCCTGGGGTTCATTGTGTTAGTGACTGTGTCTATCCCTGTCTCTGGGCTGTAATCATATTCAGAAAGAAAAGACAGGAAAGTCTTATTTGCCTATCACATCCTTTGCAGAGCCCCGTTGTACCTGTCCCTTAATGAGCGAGGTCAGACGAGAATGCCAGACCGACCTTGGTCTAGCCGAGTCATTTAACCTCTCTGAGTCTCAATTCCCCATCTGTAAAGCAGAGACAATAACTGTGCTGACACCATAAGGATATTGTGAGCTTTAAATAAGCTAGTGTTTAAGAAGGCTTTGTAAACTGCAAAGGCCACTCAAATATCCACCGTTGTTATAGCAGGCCTGCTCAGGGTCCACCTTGCCCTGCAGCAAGCCCTGGTCGGCCACACCAGATGGATGGCTTTCTTCTCTGAAAGATCCAAATCAAGTTTTCTGTCACCTAAGGACACGTGTCCCATACTGCCTCGAATTGTCATTTCCATAGACACCTTGTATTTTTTTGGTATCTCCCACTGACCACCAGGTCTTGTACTTTGTGGTTTTACAGTCCCTAAGAATGGTTCTCAGATTCTCCCTGGAGAAAGTGCACCTCAGCCCTGCACAGGTAGAAACCTGGCTACACAGCATGGGCCACACTGCTCTCCTCTTGTGTGCTCTGGCCTCCTCATACTGCTCCCTTCTCTTCAACTCTGCAAGTTGCAACACCTCCCCGCTTGACTTTCTCCATCCAATTCACACCCATCATTTTAGAGTCAGCTTCACCCCAATCTCCCATGAAACCCTTCTTAGACCTCTTCACCCATGCATTCCATAAGTATTATTTTTTGAGCATCTACTATGTGCCAGTACTGTGCAAGGTGCCAGGGGCACAATGGTAAGCCATCATGGATCTAGAGACCTTACTAATAATACTGGTCTGGGACTTAGACAATATGCCTTGTGAGTTTTTCCTTTATGGCTATTTTATGTATGTACCTGTGTGTTACCAGCTTGAAAGCTAGATCTTTGAGTGGGGCTCTTTTGTACCTTCCTAGTCAAAAGTAAAGCAGTATGTGGCATATGATAGGCATATGTAAAAATAGTACCTTCCTTCCTACACTATTTAAAAAAAAATAATTAGATAGATAGATAGATAAGATAGATAGATAGATGGATGGATGAAGGGGGAGTGAGAGGGGATTTCAATTTCTTTTTTCTTTTCTTTCTTTTTTTTTTTTTTGAGACAGTCTTACTCTGTCACCCTGGGTAAAGTACAGTGGCATCATCATAGTTCACTGCAGCCTCAAACTCTGGGGCTCAAGTGATCCTCCTGCCTCAGCCTCCTGAGTAGCTGGGACTACAGGTACACATGCCATGACACCCAGCTATTTTTCTATTTTTAGTAGAGACAGAGTCTCACTCTTGCTCAGGCTAGTCTCAAACTCCTGACCTCAAGCAATCCTCCCGTCTCAGCCTCCCAAAGTGCTAGGATTACAGGTGTGAGCCACTATGCCCAGCCCATTTCTCCACTCTTGGCTGTATGGCAAAGAAATACATGGGAGGAATTGATTATGATAGGTATTCAACACAATGATCAAGCAAAAACATTCAAAATGTATGTATGTATATTTGACACAAATATAACTTAACCAGATACAAGAAAGTTTAGTTCAAGGGTCCTACACAAATATAAGTTAATGCAATTTCCTTTACAATGCTACCATTTGGGGGAAAAATATTTGGTATAAGGGTTCAGCAGCTGAGACAGATGCGGTTTCCAGCTTGAGAGATGAGAAATGTGTGACTTCTGTATCAATGAAAATCAGATGCCACCGTGTGGCCAGAAATATAAATTCAAGGGTTTCGGTGGGCAACAGAATTGATCGCTGTGAGAATCAAATATATTACATTACACAAATAACACATTCCATCCTAGTGAGGACAGTGTATTCCCACATTAACCACCAAAACACTTCTTCGCTCTACTCTGTGACCTCTTTACAACCATAAACCTTAATTTGCACACATACACATACAACATTTACAAGCCTTCTAAAGCCCTGCTCTAATCTGCAGGACTTGTCACCTCAGTTTAAATCCAGTGTTTATTTACCCCTGACAAACCCTCAGGGAAATTCTGATCTATGAAGAGCACAGATGACATTGCAGATATTTTCAAGAAAATTAAATGAAACACAATTTATTTCATGAGCAAATAAAATCTCAGTGACAAGGGAATTAATATTTTCCAAAAGGTTGACTATACAAAGTAATTTTTAACCAATATTTTATCTTATATTAATCTTATTTGTTTATTTATTTTTGAGACATGGTCTTGCTCTGTAGCCCAGGCTACAATGCAGTGACACTAGGGTAACTCACTACAACCTCAACCTCCCAGGCCCAGGTAATCCTCCTGCCTCAGCCTCCCAAGTAGCTGTGACTACAGGCACATGCCACCACACGTGGCTAATTTTTTAATTATTTTTTGTGGAGATAGGGTCTCACTATGTTGCCTAGGCTGGCATCAAACTCCTGGGTTCAAGCCATCCTACTGCCTTGGCCTCCCGAGTGCTGGGATTACAGGCATTGGCCATCATTCCCAGCCACTAATATTTTATAGTCACATGTAAGTGACCACTTTTGATAGTACTGAAAAGTTCAGGATTTCTCTCAAACTAAGAGTTATTCAATAGAAAAGGCCAATATAAACATAATCATGCCTTATTGCAAATATTATTTAGATGGATGCTTTTTTAAAAGTTTAGGTGTGCACCAATTCAAAGATAAAGATTGTCAGAGTAGAACAAAACACAGTACCCAATAACATTTTCTATGGTAAACTTACTTTAAATACATAAAAACATATACATTAAAAGTAAAGGGGTGGAGAAAGATATACCATGCTAACACTAATAAATAGAAAGAAGTAGCTATATTAATCTCAGAACTGCAGACTTCAAAACAAGGTGGAAACTCTACTCCTCTTTATCAGAAATAGACAGATCCAGCAGGCAGAAAATCAATAAGGACATAGTTGAACTCCACACCACCACTGTTCAACTAGATATAAAGGACATCTCTAGACTACTTCGCTCAACAGCAGCACAATACACATTTTATCAAGCCCACAAGAAATATTCACCACGAAAGGTCACGACCAAGTGGATTTATCCCAGGTAGGCAAGGCTGGTTCAACTTTCAAAAATCAATTAATGTACTTGATTATATCAAAACCTGAAGAAGAAAAATCACAGGACCATATATCATAGAAACAGTATTTGACAACATTACAACTATTCATGATAAAAATTCTCGGTAAACTAGGAATTGAGGAGAACTTTCTCAACCTGATGAAGAAAACCAACAGAAAACCCACAGCTAACATCATTTTTTTTTCAGGGTTCGTGGATTTATTCCATGCCCCTATGGGATGGCCCTTAGAGAGCTCTAAGCCAAGAGTACTCTTCCAAGGCTCCCAGCCAGCTCTGCCCCTCCCGGGTCCCCAAGGAGATTAGACTGTGTCACTCACTCGTTTCTGGGCCAACTGCTTCCTTCATGGTTCCGCGGTAACCGAGTCCCCAGATAGGAAAGGCCGTGGCCTTGATGGTCGCCGGGGACACTGGAGTGGTGCGGTGGCGCCACAGGTGGTCCAGGATTCGGTGCGTGGTCCGGCCTTGCTGTCGGGGCCTTGCGCAGAATGGGGGCAGTAGCGGGGGTGGGACACGGAGGTGGCCGTCGGGCTGCCAGCGCCGGGCGTGCTGCTGCCGTCGCCCACGTCGCGAGGCCCTGCGCCTGCCGCGCCACCCACCAGCGGCCCTTTCAGGCTGGCCTGGCCTGTTGATGGAGCTGCCCGCCCGCGCCGCGCGCCTCACGCAGCAGTGGCACCAGCTCCCTAAGCTCCAGGTTCTCGCGCAGCAAGGCGCGCTCCGAGTTCGCGAAGCTTCTGCTGCGTGCGGGCCACCTCATGCCACGCGGCGCCGGGCCGAAGCGCTGGCCCTCGCGCGCCAGCTTGCGCCCATTCTGCCTGTCGTCGTCGTCGTCGTCGTCGTCGAGGCCACAGCAGGGCTCCCTCAGCTCCTGCAGCCGCTGCGTCACGTCACGTTCTTGAGGCGGTGGGTCTCCATGCTCCGGGGTGAGGCCCACCTTCTTGCCCTCGCCCGGCCCGCGCTGCACCTGAGGAGACGACGCCCGGCCGGCCCGTGCGTGGTGGGGGCGGGGCACGTGGAGCCCCCGCGCCTCAGAGTTCAGCGAGCTGAGGCGGCCTCTGGGTTGGGGCCGCGGTGCCGGGCACTCTCCAGGCTAAGACCTAACTTCTTATTTTAAGGTGAGAAACTAGCAGCTTTCCCAATAAGATCAGGAACAAGGCAAGAATGCCCCTCCTCTCAGAGGGGCGATGGGTATATTCACACCTCATGGGGGCGGCGCGCGCCGTCTGGGCGATGGACACGCTTGAAGCTCTGACTTGGGTGAAGCAAAGGCAATATATGTAACCCAAACATTTGTACCCCGTCATACGCTAAAATTTTAAAATTTTTTTAAAAAGAAAAAAAAAGAATGCTCCCTTTCACCACTCGTTTTCAACAGTATACTGGAAGTCCCACCTAATGCAGTAAAAGGAGAAAAGGAAACAAAAGCTATATTGATGTGGAAGGAAGACATACAGATCACATAATTGTTTATGGAAAAAAATCCAAAAAGAATTGACCAAAAGCTGGAACAAATAAGTGATTATAGCAAGTTTGCAAAATATAAGGCTAATATGCAAAAGTAAATCATATTCCTGTATACCGGCAATAAACAAGTGGAATTTGAAACTAAAAACACAATACCATTTACATTAGCCACCCCACCCCCAAAATGAAGCACATTGGTATAAATCTAACAAAATACAAACAAGGTTTATCTGAGGAGAACTATAAAACCATGATGAAAGAAATCAAAAAAAGAACTAAATAAATGGAGAGATAGTTCATGTTCACAGATAGGAAGATTGAATATTATCAGAATGTCAGTTCTTCACAAATTGATCTACAGAGTCAATGCAACTCCATTCAAAATCTCAGAAAGTTACTTTGTGGATATCAGCAAACTGATTCTAAAGTTTATACGGAGAGGCAAAAAATCCAGGATACCCAGCTCAATATTAAAGAAAATACCAAAGTCAGAGGACTAACACTACCTGAATTCAAGACTTACTCTAAAGCCACAGTAATCAAGACAGTGTGATATTGGTGAAAGAATAAACAAATAGGTCAATGGAACAGTATAGAGAGCCCAGAAGTAGAGCCACATAAATACGGGAATACCTCATTTTATTGCACTACATTTTATTGCACCTCACAGATGTTGCATGTTTTTACAAATTGAAGGTTTATAGCAACCCTGCATCAAGTAAGTCTATTGGTGCCATTTTTCCAACACCGTGTGCTCACTTCATGCTCCACTGTGAGGCCCACATGCCCCAGCTGCCCTTACCTGGCCTGCACTCCCCATGCAGGGATTAGGCTGGGGATATGCCTGTATGGTCAACTAATCTTGGATAAAGGAGCAAAGGCAATGCAATGGAAAAAAGATAGTCTTCTCAATAAATGGTGTGGAACAACTGGACATCCATATGCAAAAATCTAAATCTAGACATGAACTTTACTCCCTTCACAAAAATTAATTCAGAATGGATTACAGTTTTAAAGGTAATATGAAAAACAATAAAATCCCTAGAAGATAACATAGAAGAAAATCTAGATGACCTTGGATACAAACCCAAGGCATGATTCAAGAAAGAAAGAAATGATAAGCTGGACTTCATTAAAATTAAAATTTTCTGGCTGGGCACGGTGGCTCACACCTATAATCCTGGCACTCTGGGAGGCTGAGGCAGGAGGATCACTTGAAGTCAGGAGTTTGAGACCAGCATGAGCAAGAGTGAGACCCCATCTCTACTAAAAATAGAAAATTTAGCTGGGTATGGTGGCACATGCCTGTAGTCCCAGCTACTTGAGAGGCTGAGGCAGGAGGATCGCCATAGTCCAGGAGTTTGAGGTTGCTATGAGATAGGCTGACGCCACAGCACTTTAGCCTGGGCAACAGAGTGAGACTCTGTCTAAATAAATAAATAATTTTCTTTTCTGCAAAAGGCATATCAAGAGAATGAAAAGAAAAACCACAGATTAGGAGAAAATACTTGCAAAAACATACCTGATAAAGGCCCATTATCCAAAATATACAAAGAACCTTTAAAACTCAGCAATAAGAAAACAAACAACCCAATTAAAAAACTGGCCAAAGATCTGAACAGACACTTCAGCAAGCAGATATAGAGATGGCAAATAAGCATATTAAAAGATGCTCCACATCATATGTCATCAGGGAAATACAGATAAAACAGCAATGAGATATCTCTACATACCTATTAGAATGGCCATCATCCAGAACACTGGTGACATCAGATGCTGGTGAGGATGTGAAGCAACAGGAACTCTCATTCATTGTTGGTGGGAATGCAAAATGGTACAGCCACTTTGGAAAACAGTTTGGCACTTTCTTACCAAACTAAACACGATCTTACCATATGATCCAACAGTTGCACTCCTTGGTATTTCCCAAAGACACTGAAAACTTGTGTCCACACAAGGACCTGCACACAGATGTTTATAGCAGCTTTATTTATAATTGCCAAAACTTGCAAGCAACCAAGATACTCTTTGGTAGATGAATGGTTAAATGAACTGTGGAATATTCAGACCACAGAATATTACTCATCACTAAAAAAACAAATGAGCTATCAAGACATAAAGAGGCATGGAGAAATTTTAAATGCATATTGCTAAGTGAAAGAAGCCAATCTGAGAAAGCTACATCCTGTATGATTCCAAGTATATTACCATGGAATTGCAAAATTATAGTCATTAAGTGATCAGTGGTTGGTGGGCCTTGCAGGGAGGGAGGGATGAACAGGCTGAGCACAGAGGGTTTTTAGGATAGTGAAACTACTCTGTATGATACTATAATGGTGGATACATGTCATCATACTTTTGTCCAAACCCATAAAATGTAAAGCACCAAGATTCGACCCTAGTGTAAAACATGGACTTTGAGTGATAATGATGTGTCAATGTAGGTTCATTGATTGCAACAAATGCAGCACTCTGGTGGGGATGTCAATAGTGGGAGGCTGCACATATGTGAGGCCAGGAGGTAGATAGAAAAAAAAAAAACCTCCATACCTTCTCCTCAATTTTGCTGTCAACTTAAAACTGCTCTAAAAAATAAACTCTATTTTTGTAAAAAAAATTTAGACATATAGACCCTATAATAAAAAATGATATGAGAAAACCAAATTGTGTCTTCCTATAGTAATGGGCTATAGGAAAATAAGGCTAACACATTCCCCGAGTGGCAGGCACTCAACATGACCTATCTTGTTTCAGGTGCTGTGCTAGAGGCTTGGCATTCACCAGAAATCAACAGTCCTCACTCAGAGTTCAGAAAGGCAAGTAAATTATTTAATCACAATTGCACAGAAATGTCATAATTAAAAACATATTAGAGAAAAGGATGTGCGATTTTTAAAAACTGAGGCAAAATTGTTTATAATGAATGTATTTTAATACACTATATCTGGTTGTTTCAAAAGAAAGAAAGAGATGTGAAATACATCCATCATTCTCCAAGTTCCTGGACTTTTATGATATTCGTCAAGTAGTTTAGGAAGAGGGAAGTAAGAAGTAAAGCAAAATGATAATTAATGATTCTTCATAACAGGTAGGCTAAAAGGCCTGTGAGATTTTCCTTCTAATCTCATATGGAAAGCATGCAATCATATTTTAATTATAGACCTGGAGACTGGACAGAGCCTGTTTTTATATCATTATCACAGCTAGAGCCACTGGAGGAGCTATTACATCTCATCTGGCCTGACCCTTTGATTTTGCAGTTGAGGAAACTGTGGACCAGAGAGATTAAGTGATAAACCCAAAGTCACCCAAGATCACCCAACCAGTTTAGTGACCTCCCAGACTAGGGTCTGGGCCTCTGGACACACTGCCCCATCTGTTACATGCTCAATGGTTAAAATGGACCAGAACAAATACATTACTTTATTATATCAACAAAAAATTATCCTCACATTAGAATTCACTCCAAGGTATGCTTTTCAAATGTGGCTTTTAGAAACTTGCTTATCTTAAAACACAAAAGAGTTATAGAGGCTAAGGTGGAAATTCAAGATAGCATCAATAAATAAAGATTGTGATCCAAGTCAAAATGAGCCCAAATTATCTCCTCAAAATAGGAAGCTGGATCAGATGAAGAGTGGCAGTGGGAATCTAAGAACATTTGTTGAATGAGTGCTCCTGGCAACCTGCACTCACGGGAATGCCATGGAGGAGGCTGAGAGACTCCTGTTCCAGTCCATGCAGAGGAAGTTCCTCTACTGTGATAAATAATAGGCTCAGGGTTTGGTTCACTCTTTCCATCTAAAACATCCTTTTCTCCTCACTGCCAATCCTAGTGTGATTGCCTCTCACTCCCATTAATCATGATCCCTTTAATGTGTAATTTATCCATAGTCCACTCATATCATGAGCTTGAGGGGAAATGGGAGAGGGAGTCCTACCTGACAATTTGTCCTAAGTCGCTGGACCCTGCCTAAAGATTGTGAAATTACCCTAGAGATTCATTGTTATGGACATACACTAAACCCTGGGCAGATCACTGTAAGTGCCAGAGAATGAGCAAGAACCAAAGGAAGTTCCTAGCACTTGGGTATTACTTGTTTCCAGGCTGCTAATGTTCTTTTAGTCTTAGATCAAGGCTGTTGGAGTTTGGGCATTGGCCTTGAGCACTCAAGTTATTTCTATTG